TCACCAAGAAAAGGAGTCGACCCAAGGGCCCCTCCCAGGGTGCGGACTGGGCGCACAGTGGAATACTATTCAGCTGTCAAAAAGGAAACAGACTCCAAAGGCAGGGACATGCCTGTCGTCCTAGTGGCTCGGGAGGCTGAGGCAGGAGGATCTGTGCCTTGCAGGGACGAGGACGAGACCGAATGCGCCCAGTACATGGTGGACTCGGCCGGGGTGCACGTGGGCTGCCATTTCGAGGAACTGGGCGAAGCCAAGACCACAGACAACTACTTTTTCCTGCTCAACGGGACCAGCCACCAGGCGGCCATCCAGTTCTTGGACTTTGCCCCTCTCGTGGCCTTTAAAATCGGTAAGACCGGGTCCCAAGACAACGCCCCAGAGGTACAGTGACCGTGTCCCCCACACTGAGACCCAGAGTCAGTGGCTCAGTCCACAACCTTGGTGCATGTGCGTTTCCGTTCCAAGACGCCGTACTGAGCGTTTTTCGTGGATGCGTGAACCCTGACTTCGCAGCCAACAACTCACACCTATCTGTTAAGTTCAGTCCCGGGGGGCTGCAGATTAAAATGGCCAAGTGACAGATAGTGGACACAAGCAGACAGATTGGGTTTTTATCTTCATGCCTGTGCGTGTGTGTAGGAGGGGGTGCTTCGTGGGAAACAAAGGGAAACTTGGGGGGTCATGTGCTGTCTTTCAGGGGTGGTATGTTCTGGAAAGAACTAAGGGAAGTAGAGGATTTGGGATTCACATCTTTTTGATTCTGTTCCTTCAGTTCCAAACAAACGCACACGCCCAAGAGTCCTATTTGGGGTGTCCTGTTGTGACCCCGTCAAGGCCACGCAGATTGGTCAGGTCACATTGATGGACATCAGCGGAAGGAGGGTCGGGATTAACCTGGGGGCAGGTATGGGCAAGGCTGGCTCCGCCCCCTGCGATTCCTCAGTCTGCCCCTGGGGGCGCTGTGGAACTTCATCTGCCCCAGGCGACTAAATCCCCGGATGTGGCTACTGCAATTCTTCAGTCTGCCCCTGGAGGCGCTGCAGAGCCTCATCTGCCCCAGGCGACTTAATCCCCGGATGTGGCTACTGCAATTCCTTGGTCGACCCCTGGGGGCGCTGCGGAGGCTCCCGTCCGTCTGTCCAGGCGGCATAAATGCAGATCTGGGGGTCACAAGCTTCGGGGATCTGCCCAGTGGACTTGGGGATCCTGGTGATTGATTGACGGGGACCTTGTGGGCAGCCAGGCCATGCGTGCTGTCCCAGGAGACTTGTGTCCAGCAGGGTCCTGGTTCCTGGCATGGTTTGGTTCCTGGGGGGCAGGCCTGGAGTCCCCGTGTCCCCCAGTCCCCAGCTCCTGGGTTTTACTGGTGTTCCTGAGCCATGCAGGCGCTGGTGACTGGTGTCCCCGGGACTGGAGGGATTTGCTCGGGGAGAGGACATGCAGCCGGGCGCCTGCCATCCCAGCAGCTGGGGAGGCCGAGGCAGGAGGATCTCGAGGTCAAAGCCAGCCTCCGCCAAAGCGAGGCCCTGAGCAGCTTAGGGAGACCCTGTCCCTAAATAAAATGCAAAATAGGGCTGGGGGCGGGGCTCAGGGGTCCAGTGTCCCGGTACCAAACAGAAAAGAGAGGGAACGGGGACACAGGAGGCCCAGGACCTGCCCAGGCCTGTCCTGCAGGTGCGTCACTCCGGGGCTCTTTACTGCAGAGAAGTACAACCCGCCGGCGAACGTCACCGTCCACTACAACGCGTCCAGCCACAGCCACGTCATCCGGTGGCTCAACCCCCACCGGAGGTACGACCTAGCGAGCAGCACCTTCCGGTACGAGCTGGACATCCAGAGGACGGTACTGACCCGCGTCTCCCTGTGGCCCCTGGGGTCTGGTTCCCACAGGGAAGTTCCTCTGTGTGTCTCGCTGTCATCTCTGCTCAGTCAGAGGCTGCTCTTCACCTCTGGTCACTGCAGGGTCGTGCAGCCCGGTCCTCCCAGAGCCTCTCTAGGGACGGCCAGGGTTCCCTGGCTCCCCACAGGTCACACAGGTGACCTCAGGCAGGGGAACACACTCAGGGGCCCTGATGCAGGTGACCACACACAGGTGACCTTAATAACTACACAAAAGTGACCTCAGACAGGTGACCACACACGGGTAATTGCACACCAGTGACCACACACAGGTGCCCCTCCTGCTCACAGTCCAGACCCTAGTGCCGTCCCCTCTGTGGAGCCCCAGGGGCCCAGGATGACCCCCATGTCCACTCCTCAGCGGACCTTGGAAGTCCACTCTGTTCTCCTTCATTATCGTCCCCAGAGAACCTTTGCCATCCAGGGAGGCCTAGGGACAGGGATCTTCATTTCAGTGAGGAAAACACTTTTCTATCCCTTTATGTCTGGTTCTGGGGGCCTGCAAATTAAACACAAGATGCATTTTATCCGCAGGCGGAAAAAAAAACCAAAAAAAACCCCACAAGGTTTGTTTAACTGCTCGTGGGAGCTCCTAAAACAAGTAGCCCATAAACGTCTAAAGTTAGAGGCTTCAATAACCGGAAGGGGAGGAAAGGGGCCTGTACAAGAAAGTATTGTTTCTCCGGGAAGACGAACGTGTTTTTAAGGGAACGAGATGGAGATAAGCGAGACGTGGCAGTGTCTGATTGTGCAGGCGCCATAAAAACGGGATTTGATGACAGCGTCCCATTTCCCTCTCCTTCCTGGAATGAAGTCATTGGGAAGAGGGGGGGGGTTTACGGTGGCCTCCTTCCCAGAAGTGTGCCACGGTCACACAGATGACCCAAGCTGCAAGGAGGGGCCCTGTGCTGCTGGGGTCTCACGCCGGGTTTCAGTGTGAAATGATCTTCGCTGCAGCTCTGGGGATTAGGGTCACTGTCCACGTTGGCTACAGACAAAAAAAATAAAATAGAAAATAAAAAAACAGAGTCACTGACCCTCTTCTCGCTCTGTTTCTTTTTACAGAGCGGCTCGCCGAAGAGAGACCCTGTGAGTATCTCTCTCCTCCCCAGAAGCCTGGGCTCAAGCCCTTAAAGACCTCACAGATGATCTGAGCTCAGCCACAGTCCCCGGGGCCCATGGGTGGTCACCAGGCAGCGGGGCCAGAAGAGGCGGGCTCCGTCCAACCTGGGCGCACGGTGCACACGGCACACGGAGCAGCCCCTCGTGCAAACCAGCTGCTCCCGGCTGACCTCAGAATGCACAGTGCGCTGGGCAGGACCCACCCGGGATTTCAGAGGGGACCTCAGAAATAAGGACGGTGGACCTAGTTAGTGGACGGCCCTGAGATGGGTCAGGGGGCCCTCATGCAATGGCCGTGTCCCTCCCAAGAGACAGAGGAGGGGTCACGTGGGGCAGCAGGGTCCTGCGCCTGCAGGTGCTCGTGGCTCCTGCACCTGGGAGCCTGATTCTCAGGTCCCTGCTGAGCCCTGACCTGCCACCGGCTCCCGCAGCCCGTGGACCACAGTTTGAGTGGCACAGAGAAATGGAAGGAGGGTCAGGATCCACCTGGGGGGCAGATGTGGGCAGGGCCTGCTCTGCCCCCCTGCAATTCCTCCGTCTGCCCCTGGGGGCGCTTCAGAACCTCATCTGCCCCAGGCAACCTAATACCCGGATGTAGCTACTGCAATTCGTCGGTCTGCCCATGGAGGCGCTGCAGAGCCTCATCTGCCCCAGGAGACTTAATGCCCCCGGATGTGGCTGCTGCAATCCCTTGGTCCACACCCTGGGGGCGCTGAAGAAGCTCACATGCCCCAGGCAACTTAATCCCCGGATGTGGCTACTGCAATTCCTCCGTCCCACCCTGGGGGCACTGCGGAGCCTCACGTGCGCATCTGCCCCAACAGGCGTTAATTCCTGGATGTGGCCTCTGCAATTCCTCAGTCTGCCCACGGAGGCGCTATAGAGCCTCATCTGCCCCGGGCAACTTAATCCCCGGATGTGGCTACTGCAATTCCTGCGTCCCACTCTGGGGGCGCTATGGAGGCTCACGAGTCCATCTGTCCAGGAGGCGTTAATCCGTGGGTGTAGCTACTGCAATTCCTCAGTCCGCCTCTGGGGGCGCTGTGGAGGCTCCCGTGTCCATCTGCCCCGGGATGCCCAAGGTGCTGGCCAGTGCTGAAAGGTGTGACCAGCTCGCCTTCTAGGGAATGGAGACGGCCACTGGCCCAGAAGGAGATGTCCTGGTCCTTCCCTTGCCCCTGCCCAGCTCAGAGATTTCCCTGTGGATCAAGGGCACGAGGTCTTTGCTGCTCTGACCACTGGGCAGCTGATCTGCTCCTCCCAGCCTCTGCAGCTGTAGACCCCTCTGTGGGGGGACAGGTGGCCTGGTCTGGGAGGGCACTTGTGTCCTGTGCGTGTCCTGGGAGGGCGCCACAGGCAGGGAGCAGAAGATGCATGTCCGTGTCCAGCCCAGGCGTCCAGTGACCCTCAGGGGACGCGGACATTCATGCTGCCCCCCCTCCCGGTTCCACCTGGGTCCCCAGCACGGACCCCTTTTCCTTTCAAAGGTCTTTCTAGATGGGAAAGACGAAAACGAGTACTGGCCACCCAGCTCCGACTCGCGCACGGAGAACACGGTGCGTCTGAGGGTCAAGTACCAGCGCAACGAGATCTGGAGCGAATGGAGCCGGACGCTGAGCTTCGGTAGGTGCCCGGCTCCCGGGTGGCTCCTGGGGCCGTGTGGACACTGAGCCGGCCACGGGAGGGAGGGGGGAACCCTCTGACTCAGTCCCGCCACCTGATTCAGTCCGTCTGTGCTGGGAAGTGCTGCTGAGAGTCTGCCCAGGGCTAAGTCCTGCATGAGGCTGGCCTCTCGCGCTCCCGGATTCCCCAGGAAGGAGGCTCCCGTCAGGGTCCTGGAGATGAGATGACCACATCTATGCATGATGCAGCCCTGATTCCTGTCCCCAGCTGAAGTCATGAAGAGGTTGTGCGTAGAGCCCGGCTACTGGTCCCTCTTGACCCTCTGCTCTTCTTCCTCATCAGGCACCCCAGAAGAGGGATACGGCAGCATCCCTGTGACCCTGGTGGTGCTGGTGGTGGGGGCAGCCACCCTGTCCACGGTGGTCCTCATGTTCCTTTGCAAAAGGTGACTTTGAGTGGCATTGAAACGATCCCACTTGGCAAAGTGGCTCAGACCCCCGTGACCACGGGCTGCGTGACCGCTTAGACCACAGGGAGCAGAGCAGGCAAATCCGTAGCGCTGACCGCACTAGGGTTGCTCAGGCCGGGACCAGGAGGGCACGCGGAGGGACTGCTCATAGGTGCAGCCTCCTTTGTGGTAATTTGAATGTTCTGGAACTGGACAGAGCCCATGGCTGTGTCCAGGGCTCCTCATAAGAGGGCTGGGCGTGTCGCTCTGTGGTAGAGCAGTTTCCGTGCATCAGCAAGGGCGTGGGCTGCGTCCCTATCATTGCAACAAAAATGGGGCTAGAGTGCGAATTACCCCATTTCTTCAATTCGCCAAATTTGCAAAGCCTGCTCCGCCCCCTGCAATTCCTCCGTCCACCCCTGGAGGCACTGCGGAGCCTAACTTGCGCATCTGCCTCGGGGGACTTAATCCCCGGATGTGGCCACTGCAATTCCTCGTCTGACCATGGGGGCGCTGCAGAGCCCCACCTGCCCCAGGCGACTTAATCCCCGCAGGTGGTTACTGCAATTCCGGAATCTGTCCATGGGGACCCGGATGTGGTCACTGCAATTACTCGGTCCACCCATGGGGGCGCTGCAGAGCAGCAATGCACATCTGCCCCAGGCGGCATTCATCCCAGGGCGTGGCCCCTGCAATCCCTTATTCCGCCCATAGGGGCGCTGCCAAGTCTCATGTGCGCATCTGCCCCAGGCGACTGAATCCCCGGATGTGGCCACTGCAATTCCTCGGTCCGCCCACGGGGGCGCTGCGGAGCAGCCCTGCGCATCTGCCCCAGGCGCAAAGTCTCGCCTTGTGGTTTAAAGTGCGGAGGGGTTTTCAAGTTCCCTGCGGTCTGCAGGGGTCACTGCACCTAGAGGGGTCACTTGCACTGTTCGTGCGGGATTCAGACGTCATGGAAGCCCCGGGTCCCTGCGCACACCCTGGCCAAGAGCTGTGTGTGCTGCCCTCTGCCCCAGGCTTCTCCCCAGGGAGGACGTCAATCAAAGGCGTGGGGCCCCAGGGGAGCAGTGGAGGTGCTGGTCAGTCTTGGGGTGCTTAGGGAGCCCGGAGCCCCTAGTCCTGCAGGTACAGGATGGACCTCAGGGGCGCACTGACCCCTGAGCCCCATCCCAGTCCTATTTTGCATTTTACTTAGAGACAGGGTCTCCCTGAGCTGCTTAGGCCTCCCTTTGGCTGAGGCTGGCTTTGAACCCGTGATCCTCCTGCCTCAGCCTCCCGAGCTGCTGGGATGACAGGCGTGGGCCACTCGCCCGGCGGCTGGTGCATGCGCAGTTTGACTGAGTGACCCCCTGAAGAGCTGAGGCGACAGCTCTGGAACTTCTCCTGGGGGTGACACGTCTCCGCTCCTGGGTGGGGCTCCATTTCTCTGCTGAGCTGTCGCCCCAGAAATTGTGACAGGTGCATCCGGGTGCAAGAAAGCCCTCCTCGGGCCCTGCTCCTTGTAGAGCGACCCTGACGGGCAGCCCACAGCGAGCCAGGTCCAGTGGGCACGTCCTGTGGGCGGAGCCGCGCCCCGGAGCAGGACGCTGCCCCTCAGGCTCCCTGTCCCCGGCCAGGTACTCGCTGTGGCGAAGGCTGTTCCCGCCCATCCCGCGGGTGAAAGCGGAAGTGACCAGCGACTTCGTGTCAAATCAGGTGGGTCCCCAAGCTGCAGCCGCTGAGCGTGTCCCTGAGCAAGGGGACAAGGACAGCGTTGTGCCTTGGCTGAGGCTGCTCTAGGCCCAGCTGGACACCAGGAGCCCGAGACCCCGGAGACCCTGTCGCACCCACCACGGAGACCTCTGTGTCCAGCACAGAAGGTCCTGAGTGTCGCCGGGGGTCGGGAGGGAGCAAGGTCCTCTGAGCTGGTATCAGAGCCCCATTCCTTTTCTTGGCTGTGTAATATTCCACCGAGTCTCTGGACACTGTTCTGTGGATCTCTTGAAACACCGGTGGACACTTGGGTGGTTTCCACCTTGTGGCTGTTGTGGACAGTGCTAGGCTCCGACAGGCCTTCCTGGCGGGACAACCAGAGGGTCATTTGTGGACCATCTCACCGGCGTGATTTCTTCTCCCTCCTAGCTCACCTGGGTCGAGTCCCAGCCTCCACCAGACTCCCAGGATCCCGAGGACGTCCTTGCCGTGGAGGAAACACCGTAATTGGCCCGTGGACGAGCAGAGGGACGAGTTCCGCGCCCCGGCCCTCTCCCAAAGATGTCCCTTGTGTCCCGGGACGGGCTCTGACCCTCCTGGGGGACATGCTGAAGCACACCGGGTCCTCCTCAGCCTCTGCCTCCTCCCCCCAGGAAAAGATAAGCCGGGCGCCGCCGCTCACGCCCCTACTCCCGGATGCTCCGGAGGCTGAGGCAGGAGGATGGCAAGGTGGAGGCCAGCCTCAGCAACTCCGCGAGCCCCTAAGCAACTCAGGGAGACCCTGCGTCTAAATTAAAAAATTAAAATGGCTGGGGACGGGGCTCAGGGCTGAGTGCCCCTGGGTCCCCTCCCCGGCCCCCAAAGGAATTAAAGATTTTAATTGCAAAACCTCGCGGGTTGGCGATAAGGGACTTTCACAAGACTTCCTCCGCTATCTGGCTGTCCCCGCGGCCAGCAGGACACCGGGAGCCCGGGACCCCAGAGGACCTGTCGCAACCCCGGGGAGCCACGGCCTCCAGCCGTCCCTGCTGATAAGGGGTCAGGGGGGTGACGCAGCACTGAGGTTGGGACAGGGGACCGCGCAGCCCGGAGACAAGTCCTTCTGGGAGACCGGAGCCCCCCGCCCAGGAGGAGCCCGCTCCAGGGCCACCTGTCCCTGCAGTCCCTGCCTCCGTCCCCACGGGGCTCCTCCTCTGGGTCTGTGTCCCCTCCTCTGTCTCTGGGGAGGACACGGCCATGGCCTGAGGGCCCCCTGACCCAGGAGGAGTCCATCCCCGGTCCTGGACCGGCCATGTGTCCTGGGGACAGATGCTTCCACCTGGGACACGGGGTGGATTGGGGGTGATGCTCTCCTCGATGTCCAGCTCTCCGAAGCCTCTCTGGCCCCCCGGGGTGCAGAAATGGCAGACAGGGTGCCCACGAGGACACAGTCCACTGTGTGTCACCCCTTGGTCCCTGGACACCAGCCCGGGGACGGTCCGAGGGGCTCCTGGGCGTCCGCCAAGACCCAGGAAGATGGACCAGTGGGACCTGCCCATTCTCAGGCAGCAGCAGGGTCCCGGGACTTCAGTGGGGAGGTCCGAGGGTCCGTTGTCATGGCCATGGGGACATGTGGAGTAATGTGTCCCCCCAGATCGCGAGGGTGAGTCCTGCTGCCAGGCCTGTGGCCGGAAGCGCCTTCGCTGGGAAAGTTCACTAGGGAAGCCCCACATGTGGGGGAATCCCGCAGGACACTGTGGGGTCCCAGAGGCCAGGCCCGCCCAAGCCAGGGGACAAGGACGGTTTCTAGTGAAGGGCCCTGAGATGGGCTCCTCCTTGGTCAGGGGGCCCTCGATCCATGGCCGTGTCCTCCCAAGAGACAGAGGAGGGGACGCAGACAGAGGAGGAGCCCCGTGAAATCCTTTAATTAACCACCCCTCAGCCCCTTCACTGCAAAGTGACAGGGCTCTGATCTGGAACTTGTGGCTGCTCCTTCTCTTGTTTTCCACCACCTTCCCTCTCCGCGGGGGGGGGGGGGGGGAAGCGGATTCCAGACGCCCACCTGCCCCCAACCGGAGCTTGGGACACCGCCCTGGACATGGCCCTGGGACTGCAAGCCGACGAAGCTGGGCAGAAGCAAGGTGTCCCCGACCAGTGTGACTCTGGGTGAGTGGCTCTCGGCCCCCCGGTGCCCGCGTCCTCAGGGCGCCCGGGAGCGTCGCCTCTTGGCCGGGTCAGTGGGCCCCAGGGGCCTCCATCAGCTTCTCCGGGTGTGTGGGTCACCTTTTCTTTACTGTGACAAAATACCCGAGGAAAACGACTTCGAGGAGGAAAAGGTTTTGTTTTTTTTTTTCTTTTGTAGGTAAGACAGCATCCAAAATACGTCAGATATAATATAAATACTAAATATATACATGATATAGAATACACAGAATAATGTGATATATACATAAAAAATATATTAATATGTATGATAAAATATACAATATCACATCATATATAAATAGTACGCACTGTGTGGACTGCGTATGAACAGATATCCTCATATAGATGCACGATGAATGTCACAGAGCCCGTCACGGTGACACTGCAATCGTCTATGATGATCCTGACAGACTGAGCCGGGGGCACAGACTCACGCCTGGGATCCCCAGCCGCTCTGGAGGCTGAGGCAGGAGGATGGCTAGTTGGAGGCCAGCCTCAGCCCCTCAGCGGGAACCGTCTCTGGATACTCCTCACAAGGGCCTGGGAACCGGCTCGGGGCTGCAGCCGCTGGGTTAGAGGGACGCCTGAGGGTCCCCGGTTGGGCACCTCCTGCCTCAGTCCCTCCTGCAGAGCTGCCCTGACCCTGCGGCGCTGTGTCACTGGGCGTCGCTGGCTGTCCCTGGAGCTGGTGAGCTGGTTTCCAGGGCAACCACGGGCTCTCCCTGCCCGGCCCAACCGCCGGCCTGCACAGGTGCACCTGGCTGTGTCGAAACGGCCCTATTTTGGGTCCCCACGGCCCAGCTGCACCCCGATGGCCTCCACTGGCCCAGAGCCTCTTCCCGGTTCCTCCTTTCTGTTCCTCGTGGCCTCCCCACCCCTGTCCCTGGCACGTGCACAGCCCTGACCTGCCCAGGCCTCCGCTCCTCCTCCTGCAGCACCGGGGGCCTCGACCCTCCGTCCTGTCCCACTCCAGCCGCCACAGGACACTTTAAAAGTCCCCCAGGGCTCCAGGTGGGCAGGAGGGCTTCCCAGCTGGACCTCTCCCGGCCGTGCCCGGGTCGCTGGGCGTCTTGGCAGGCAGCCCTGGGTGCTCCTGGGGTCCGATTCCTCGGCACTGAGTACCCAATAAGAAAATCTGGCCGTGCCTGGGATCCCAGTGGCTCTGGAGGCTGAGGCAGGAGGATGGCAAGTTGGAGGCCAGCCTCAGCAGGGATCTAAGCAACTTAGGGAGACCCTGTCTCTAAATAAGACAGGAAAGGGCCGGGGCTGGGCTCCGTGGGGAAGCACCCCTGGGCTCCATCCCTCTGCGGAAACAAGGGATGGGGACGAGGGACAGAGGGACTGACAGGACAACGGGGCAGGACAGAGGGACAGAAGGCACAAGCCCCGTCCTCCAGTTCCCTGCTCTCCGACAGCTGGAGAGAGACCTGTGCCGGTCCCGGAGAGCCGGGTGACCCCTTAAGGTCTGGCCAGTCTCCTATCAGAGCATCTGGCAGCCCAAGTGTGTCCCCAGGGACAGCTCAGCCTCCGTCTCCTGACGGCCCCTCCCTGTGCCCAGGCCTGGCCCCGCCCACATCCTCCAGTGCCCCGCCCTGTGCATCCCTGGCCCCGCCCACATCCTCCAGTGCCCCGCCCTGTGCATCACTGGCCCCGCCCACATCCCCTAATGCCCCCCTTTGGATCCCTGGCTCCGCCCCCACATCCCCTAATGCCCCCCTTTGGATCCCTGGC